AGATTTTGTGGGTGTTGACATGCTTGTAATCGATGAAGTTTCTATGCTATCAAAATCGGATTGGTTGAAGTTGGACAAACTTCTTCGTCGGTATAAGCGGCTTTCTGGGATTCCTTTTAGAAGCATTCACATCGTCCTTGTGGGTGACTTTCCTCAACTTCCTCCAGTTGGTGCTGATCCCATCTACGTTGACCCCGCAACAAAACGCATTTTTCGACTACAGATATCGAAGGGTTTCTTCTTTGGCGTCATTTTGAAACTATAATCATATTGGAGGAATCTGTGCGTTTTCGGGATGACCCTGAATGAGGTGAAGGTTGTAGCGCTGCTCGCTTGGGCAACTGGTCGCAAGATTTTGTAGACCTAATCAATTCACGGCTTGTGACGAAAGATGTTGAAAATTCATGGAGTGGCGATACAATCTTCGTTACACCTGATAACGCTACGCGCGCAGCTATTAACAATGAATCTATACGTGAAACCGCTAAACAGTTAGTCCCAGGACAATGTCCAGTGCAAGTTGTAGCCAATTTTAAGGGCAGCCTCAGTGGACTCAGCCGACAAGATGTAGAACATGTTATGGGGCTACCGGATTCACGATTTGGTCGGATGGCACCATTTCTAGACCTCATTGAGCGTATGCCGATTCAAGTCACTCAAAATTTTAGGCCAACCAAGGGAGCCGCCAATGACACAGTTGGGTTTCTCGAACATTTTGTATTCTCTCCTAGTACGACCTTTAGACATGTTCGAGACAGTACAACAGGAATGATCGTCAAGGTTCCTTCCAAACCACCCCAATACGCGATGTTACGGATAAATAAGGGTCCAAACGCTGCTTCGTTTGACAGTCAGGAAGACGCTGAACTCTTACCCGTGTTTTATGACGCTCAATCATACGCAAAAACTTCTATTTCTCTCCCCAAGGCCCCAAGCGGAGTAAAACGACACCTCGCGGTCAAGCTCCAGCAACTACCGATAGTGTCCGCTGTGGGCTCAACAATATACAAAGTTCAAGGCGAAACACTGCATTCGATGGTTGTTGTAGATTGGAAATCTCCTGTTGCTCTTGTAAACAAACCCCAGCAGGCGTACCTGCTTGTTTCTCGGGTTGTTTCTCGTCATGCTTTTGCAACGCTATCGCTGTTTACGAACGATTAGGCAGCCTGGTCAAGGCCCCCATCGGCTGCTCTTACTGAAGAGCACGGTTTGCAAGAAATATCTTGACGTACACTTCATGACCACTTCCCTATGTGAACCTCGTAGTAGTTCAAACAAAGATGTTAAGATTGTTAAGAAAAATAAAAAATAAAACTTCAAAAAACAGTTGAACTGCGAATCCCCCGGGCCATCACCCGGGTCCCCAATCTAAATGGATATGTTATTTAACGTGTTGTCTACTCTATTGAAAAGAAAGGTAATGTAAAAGCTGTTGGAGCTCCACATTTTCAAACTGCATGTGCTGGTAATAGAACTGGTTTGCAGTTCACTACTTGCTTTGTATATTCTCCTCGTCGCTTCACTTACTCTCTTACATACCTACAGTTGAACTTTAACAAAAGAAGCCCAACTACAGTAAAAGCGGCGAATAGGTTACCATAGGTTCTTGTGGCGATCAACATATACGCGACTCATATCCAGTGAGTCATGAGCGCGGACGCCAACGTGTAAGCTTACAGTTTGCTAACAGAAGTGTGTTCATTCATA